CTGCAAGACTGTACGATGTTGCATTCCGGAAGAACCGGTTCTGATTCGAGTGTTCTTGTCGCTACTGCGCAGATTTGGGTGGTTCGAGAAGCTGGACCTGCGGTGGTACGCGCTCCCTGCTGTGTCTAACATGCTGTTCGACTGTGGGGGGCTTGAGTTCACGGCGGCTCCTTTCAACGGCTGGTACATGAGTACCGAGATCGGCTGCAGGGACCTTTGTGACACGCACCGCCTCAACATGCTCGAGGTCTGTACATCGCGGGGGACGCCGCGCTTCGGACTAAGGTCATTTCTCGACCAGGAGACCGGCTGTCCCTACCGAATCTTGTGCGTGGTTTTCCTCAGTCCCTTCAGGCAAATGCTACCTTAAATTCCGTCCACATCGTTTCGAGTTTAATGATTGTCATTGTTTTCGACGCAGTATCGTGTGACCGCGTCTTTAAATACGTCACAGAATAAATATATGTTTAATTTTCTTTTCTACTACGCTTCTGACTTGCAACTGGGACGCGCCGGGTTCGGATCTCGGCGGGGACCCTTAGTATTCTGGTCGAGACTTTGATTTGTTTCTCCATCCCTCCAACCGATTCCAGGATCAGCGCCTATGAATAGGCCACGACGAAACCTTTGTCAACAGTTGGTAGTAATGAAGATCTGGTTGACGTGATTGCGTCTTTGTTTCCGTGGTTTCAGACAGTGGCGGTGAGGATGGGTCTCGACACGCGGACTCCGGTCACGCTCTGGAAGGACAAAGCGCTGGTCGAGACGAATCTGGCAGTTCTGCACAGTTTCCAGGTAACAACTGTGGTCTTGTAGGTGATAATCAGCGTTTCGGAGGGACGCATCGCTTCTATCTTCAGGTCGGATAACGGAGACGTCGAAGATACGACCATACAAGGCAGCTCAAATGGTTATCGCAGTTTCATAGTCACTTTTTCCTCTCTCTTGGCCGGAAGATCCCAAAATAGATTTTAATTTCATGGCCGATCTTGTTCGTGTTTTTTTTATAGTTACTTTAGATAAGTGTTAGCATAAAACGTTAAAATAGACGACAACTTTCTTTCGCGTTGTTTATTTATTAATTTAATTTAAAAAATTATAAGAGAAAAATTAAAACAAACAAAAAAACCCACGAAAACTCCAATCTTGACAGCCGGAGGCCGGGCCGGGAATTGAAACTGGAGTCTCCGGAGTAAATTGTCTCCCACTTCCGGTTCCCTGTGTTACGTGCGCAATTTGAGAGATCTACGTTGGTTTGCAGTCGCGGAATGTCACAATCGTGGATCACCACACGGCCTCAGAGTCCTTCATGAAGCATTACGACAACGAGCTCCGCTTGAGGAACGGGTGCCCCGCAGATTGGGTGTGGATCGTGCCCCCTCTGTCCGGCTCCGCCACTCCCGTCTTCCACCAAGAGATGGCTCTGTATCAGCTTAAGCCCTCGTACGACTACCAGGCAAGTTGAACTTCACGCACGGCCAGTCTCTCAAATCAGATATTCGAATATCCACACCAAAAAGTTTAATTTGAATTTGGTTTACGTTCGTATTGGCCCAATATCACCCCCAACTTTTGCACGAAATTCAAATAAAATTTTATAGATTTTGTCCAAAAAAAAACAATAAATCGTATTAGGCCTATAGTTATAATTATAAATAACGATTTTTTTTGGATGTGACAAATATTTAACAGAATTAAAGGGGAAACCTCTTCCTTTCTCTGGATTTTTGTCGATTTAATTTATGCAAAGTCAGAATTTAAGCCAATTGCGTAGTCAATACGTGAACTTGAGACTTCAGTACATCTCGCCGTCGTGAAAGTTGCCCCTTCCTTAAAGGAAAAGGACGTCTGGCAGCTTCAATTCTCTACTCGCGTTCTCTTTGCTTCTTTAGGACGCAGCGTGGAAGAGTCATCAGTGGAAGAAAGGCAGAGAACTAGGGAAATGTAAAAAGCCGAGAAGAAAATTTCACTTCAAACAGATCGCCAGGTAATGAGGAGTGGATGAAGACGTTTTTATGCAACTGAGAAGATAACAGCTCAGCACTTTAAGAAGAGCTCAGCTCCCTGAGACAAAAAAAAACGAAATTTATAAAAAAAAACTACAAGGCGTCTGTCCATGACAGAGTTCTCGCCAGTTCCTTCATTTAATCGCCACAAATTCCTTCAATCTGAATCCATCAGGTGATATTTGGAAGCATCTTACAAAGAAATACGCGCAGGCTAATACTTTTTAATGTTAAATAATTATTTTATGGTATTGTACAGGGTGTTCGACGACTTTGTGATTACTTCACGGTCGTGAGGTAATTTCGAGTCAGGAATTCCATGTTAACATCAATCGATTGTCAGCGATTACGGAGATTTAGATAGAAATTTGAAGAGTATGACGGGGGACCAAACTTTAATCCGCACGTGACGCAGTACCTGAATGAGCGGAACTCTGACAGATGGATTAGTCGTGTGGTCGTTCGCAAAAATGAACACTGCTGTCACCGGACCTCACGCTCTCTACATTCCTCTGTTTGGGGCTGTATGAAAAACGTAGTATATGAACGCAAAGTAAACACGATACATGAAGTACATAATCGAGTTTTCGATTCTGCAAGACCATAAATGACCCTAATCCACATCGTCTTCAATTTAAAATATCTGTAGGTCTGTTAGTGTTGAGAATCGGACCTGTGTTCATGTGACATTTCTGACTGGGATTTACTCCTGAAGTACGGCCGTGAAATCTTTCGAACACCCTGTAGAATGTCCTGCAGAGTTAGTCTCCTTTAAGCAGCGAAGGTAAAGGTGTATTTCAATAACGCGGCCCCCGCGTAAGAGGTTCCGTGTGTTCGTCGTATCTTAACCTTGTTTCCCGTTCTCGTGTTTGCCTTCAGGGCGGTGAAATTTACGTCCAAACTGTTCGGACGAGCGTTATCGAGGAGAATCAAAGCCACGGTCCTTTACGCCACGGAGACAGGCAAATCAGAGATGTACGCGAAGAAGTTGGGAGAGATTTTTGGACACGCCTTCAATTCACAGGTACAGAATTTCTATCCCTTTCTGATGTTTCTGCTTTCTTGCTGTGACAGAGGATTTTCTGCGCGCGTACATAAATATATTCAATGCAGATTGTGGCTTAAGGTCGACGCCTAACGCTGTAAATGTTGCGTCATTGTTTAATTTCTTCGTTGTTTTGTTAGTTGGCAGTAGAATGTTACGATGTTTTTTGGTACAGGTGTACTGCATGGCAGACTATGACATGAGCAGCATCGAACACGAGGCCCTTCTGCTGGTCGTCACCTCCACGTTTGGAAACGGGGATCCCCCAGAGAACGGCGAGGTATGTGCCTTTGATACCAACGACGTCGTTAAACTAACCACAAATAAATAATCTGAGGGCTTTGTGCTTTTCACTCGGCGAAGATTTCGATGTTGATCTTTTGGGTTCGAACGCAATGTGGACTTGTAGATAGAAATCTCGTTTCGGAGAACACAACACCTCCATTGTCAGGGCTGAAATTCGGCGTCCTGAAGATGCAGACGACGTTTTGGATGAACATATTGCCTCCAGGTACAGGATTACTCGCTTAAACCCTGAGGATAGAGGCAATATGTTCCTCCGAAACGTCCCCGTGCAAACAAACCTCTAGACGACGTAAGAACCCAGAAAACACGAGATCAATATTCGCATCGCAAAGCCGTGAACCTTAATCGTTTAATTAATTTACCTTTAAATGTCTCTGTACATTTAAGTAATAGCCTGGTATTCGTATATATCCATCTGTTACAGTCGGAACAGCTGTAAGATTTTACTTCGACGCTAATGTAAATTTCAGGGGAATGCGGAGATCAGCGTTGTGAAATGTCAGATGCTGCGTATTCTTAGCTAAGCCTGTAATTACTGGGGATAAAGTTCGCTGTAATGCGTCTAGTCCCTTATCAGCGTATTCGTAAACGACGCAGAGTTCTTGCCTTGCTTAGACAAGGATTTGTTTCCTCGATGAGAAGAACGTTTTGTTCAGATTTGAGATCTCAACATAGGAGATAAAGTCGTCGTTAGATCTTGATGTACCTTTCGGATCAATTTGATGTGTAGGGTCTCTGTGAACTTTGATACCGGGCACGCGGCATCGACTATGCGAACGTACCGTCTGTCTGATTCGTAATTCAGTCGTCGAATATATTGATTTAAATTGTCCCAGAAAACCACGGAGCATATTTATTACTATAAATGTCTAGACTTCTTTTCGGGAGATACTGATTTAGAATGTCAGCTACGTTATGCGCTACTTTGATAAATTATTTAGTGGTTTTCTACAGTTTCTTCAGACTAATGCTGTGACATTGCTTTTGTCTCTTTAAAACCCAATGCAACATTATTTATCCCCCTTTTTTTACATTAGTTTTTTCTTAATTTTCTGTGTAGTTACGTGTTTTGTAACTATTTTCAGTGTAAACAGCGATTATTAACTTAAACAGCGTTAACCAGTTGATCTTTGTAATGGTGAAGTGTGGTGTTTTCTTCGCGGTCCGGACCGAATCTTTAAATGCCTAGCAAGGGACGATGTCTTGCGCATGCGCAGGACTCCGCCCTGAGTTAACTTTTTTGGTTGGTTGTTTAAGATTCAAAGGGTAAGTAGAACTTTCGTTGGCATTACATCGCAACTCGTCCTCACGTGATGAGACGCTCTCATACACGTGTAGATGGTACGGATTGCAAACAATTTATTGCTACATTCTGCTGTCCAGGTGTTCGCCCAGAATCTGTACGCCATGAAGATGAGCGACTCGGCTGGCGTTACCAACGGCGGAGACGACAAATTCAGGTAAATTATGTGTTACGCGTAACCTAGAAGTTAGAGGAACTTAAATCATTTCTAGACATGACTAACCTAGCTATTCGTCTGGTGCAGAACAGATCGTTTCGTCGAGTCTATTCTGAATAAATAACACTTTGAACGTGGATGTCTTCTGGAATGTTACCCTGATGGTGTAGGCAGTAAGTTTATCTATAATTTCGGTCAAAATTAAACAGACTGCACTTCATCCCAGAAAGCGGCCATTTTCATACTCGCTGCCGTGAAAACGTTTTGTTTTATCTCAGATTCATGTCGTGATTATTGCCCGAATGAAACTCCCATTTTCTTTCCATGTATCAGCAAAGATTTTAAGTGCGCGAATAAAGATTTCACGCACTTTTCCTGGAGGTATTTGGAATGTTGAAAACGCGTGTCTCACGCAACGTCTCAGTTCTGAAATCGCTGTTTCCATGTTCACGGCGTCTGAAAATCCTGCGACGTTGTAGGGTGGGTCACCTGGAGGATAAAGGGGATAAATTGCTGGAGCAAATGCAGTAGTCTAGCCAGTTACGGAGCGTTCATGTTAATTTGCTTAAGCCTCAACTAACTGGCTAACAACGCCTGATTTTCTAGTGCTAACTAACACGTAATCGGTTCTGCCGTGTCTAGTGGATGGAGTACCACTGAATCCCGAAAGTAAGACCGAAGACTTTCTATTTGTCGGTTTTCAAAGTGTTAGCCAGGCTGACGCGGCTAACACGGTTAACCTGAACGCCCCGCGTCTTTGTGTAGCTTGTGAACTAACAATGCAGCATGCATCTCGCTGTCTGACTAACTTAGCATGGCAACCTCCAAGTCCTTCATCAAAGCCAATAGCCAGACGGAACTTGCCGGTCAACAGGCAGACCGGAGGTTGGACCGCCTCGACTCGCTCAGGGGTTCCGTCAGTGACGTCATGGCTGAAGACACGTTCGGACCCCTCAGTAATGTCAGGTACGCTGCCTCCTTACTTTGTGCTCCCACATTTTATTTTTAATCGTAAAAGTACAGCTTGTGTTTGTCTGGACGTTTAATTCATTTAACCCGATGTGATCGACAACTCCATGTTATGAACGAGTTAGATCGATGTCGCTTTGAAACAATTCTTTTCTTCCTACACGTGTAACGTTATCAGTAAAAAATGAACCTCTCTGCCATCTTTTGGTGATGTGAGCTAACCATTTCCAGCTTCGTGCAGGCTTAAAAATGTTACGGTGGATGTATAAAAATAATTAAGGCCTAATATTTCTAATTAATAACTCGGCTTAAATGTTGTTATTGCTGTAAAACTAACACGCATTTGAAGGATTTTATATGGCTATGTTGCATTTACGAGGCTAAAAAGTACGAATATATTTTAACGAATTAATCTATAAAGGGATAATCTTCCACAGCGTTGAACACGAGACAGTTTTGTACGTAATCATTCGTTGGTAAAAGTGCTCAGGGACTTGCCCGTTAGACAGAAACTGTTAATGGTTTGAGTACCGGTGACCAGAAAAGTGGCCATGTCTTGCCAGCTGATGTGACGCATTTGTAATGGCGGGCTCTTTCCAGCGATTTTCTTTGCCCAACGAAGTTCGCTGTCGGACTAATTGTATTTGTATGTGACAGCTGTAAACAAGGGAGTTCGTTGCTCTGGAGACGACTTCGGATCGTTATTGCTGGCTTACTGCGTAAGAACGGCCAGAGCTCAAAATTTTAAACGATATTTAATGTCGACTTAAGGGAGTCTGAGGCACGGGTTCCAATGGGTGTCGGTTGAAACTGTGATTTTGAAATGTATCAATTCTTATGGTTTTCTGACGTGATATCTTCATTTATAATGAAATCAAAATGCCGCTGTATAACTTTCGCTATGTCATTGTTATACAGTGTGTTCGATTTAACCTGTTTCTGTTTCTCGTACCCGAGACACCCTCGCCGATGACTCTGTTCTGGTATTTCATCTAACAGTTACTAATCCATGAATTCTTAGTTATAATTTCAATTCTGAAGATTCAGGCAGCATGTTCTTCTTAAGCGTTGGTGTTCGAGAACAAGACTACGCGATGGAAGAACCCAGAAGAACAGTTTGAGGGCACGCCGCGGTAGAAACTTCAAATATTTTAATAAGTGGTTTAAAATTTCGTAGTCATTGTCGGTGTTACGTTATTGAAGTCAGGACAGTGTTTTACCGCTGTTTGGCGGAATATTATAAAAATGATGATGTGTTCTTAAGCTAAATTATAATCAATTAAAGTATTGAAATCTGTGATATTATTTAAACTGCGTTCACCCTAGCTGTGACTCTAGAGACTTTTGAAACTTTGTAAACAAACTGTTCAAACCAACTATATTTGTGCAGGTGTACAGTCCTGATAACATTAAATTTACCTTTTTTTTTCAATTCAGCATTCAAAAAAACTATGGTTAGTTCGTGTTACAGATTAATTAATGTTTTCATACTTTTCGCGTAGCAAAGAAATAAAGCTAATATTAACTTCCTCCTTGTTTGACGACGTCAGTCCACATACATAGATTGAACGTAGCGTAACATATTTCTGTTGCTTGTCAAATTTTAATTTCAAGATGTGTAGATATATCCTGAAGTGGGGAGGTGCTAGGAGGTGGTTTTTGCCTCAGAACGGCCGGATTGGAGATGTCCCAGGGCAGGCAGCGAGGTGAACAAGTTTTGCTGGAAACCAGCTGCTCTATTTATTTATTTATTTATTCGGGAGTTTCAAAACAGTGCGACCCATTAGTTAGATTGCTGGCAGTCAATCACCGAGTTTATTGATGGATGACTGATGGTGTGCTACTGTTTGGCTAATTGGACAGCTTCGTATGAAAGGGAAATGTTGAGATGAAGTGCGGTTAGACAAGTGCGCTCCGGTCAGGGTTTGAACTCTGCTCCGGGGAATGGAAATGCCATTGTGTCATAACAGTGCATTACGACTTTCACTGATACGATTGTCCAACTGGAAGAGATCGTGGTTTATTATGGAGCACGTCCCGTCAAATAGGAAGGGATGTACTCCAGCGAAAGCTGAGTATCGAACTATCGCTCATTCGTGACTATTTGCACGTGGTTGAGTTGTGGAGTGAGTTATTTTATGAATTATTGAATGAATTATTTAATTTTTGATACTCGAGTGACTTGATTAGTTATTTAATTAATTAATGTGTTTTTGAGTTGGCAATTTAAGTTACGAGCGACCCTAATCGAATTTTGATCTGATAATGTTACTGTAAGTTATGGCCACAGCCTCAAACATTTTATCTCATTTTATAATCTTTATTCATCGTCTCGTCTCACTCGACACGAAATAACTTTTTTTAAGTTTACGTAGAGTTGTTAAGTAATCTAGTAATTAACCTATTGGCGTACTTTGACGTCTACAGGACGTCTGTACTGTGAGCTACTTTGACGGCTGTGCAATGTGACCGGAAGAGAGTTGAAGTAGTTCACTTACATGGCAACTGATATAGTTGGCCTGGTGACCAGACAAAACCGCGGAGATTTTGAGACATTCATTTTGATAGCACGTAATTAATTCTGTGGAGACGTTTAGAATAGAAAGAAATAAGCAAAGTGTCGAGTTTGTAAGTCTTGCGAACACCTCAGAGCCCACAAGAGCCATCTCTGAATTCGGGTTAACCGATAGACCGTCCACTCTGTAGTCATACTGGGTGACTTTTGTGATGTTATGTTATGTTTCCGTCAAGGTTCGCTGTGTTTGCGCTCGGATCAAGTGCTTACCCTAACTTCTGCGCATTTGGCAAGTATGTGGACAATCTTCTGGGTGAGTTAGGAGGTGAGCGACTGCTGAAACTCGCCCAGGGCGACGAGATGTGCGGTCAGGAACAAGCCTTCCGCAAATGGGCCCCAGTCGTCTTCAGTGTGAGCAAATTTCACATTTATATTTATATGTCGTTGTAGATGAGCACAACTAAAGTTTACGTGATATTTCAGGTTCTCACGGTGACAATGTAAAGATTGCTGTATTCTGCGATGTTGTGCTGTGTAGTCTAGTGTGAACTGGCCGACGTTTCAGGAGCTACCCTGATGTTGGAGGCATTATGCACATCTGAAACGACAGTCAGTTTATACCATACTACACAGCGTAACATCCCAGCAGACAGACATATTGTTGCATTACGAACTTTATCCACTCACAGTATGTTTCAAACAGATATTTCTATATGTCACCGGTCTCCGTTAACCCTCACGTGACTTTCCCGAGTGTATTTCTGGATCTCTGACATGTGTACATATTCATCAGCATTTTAACATACTGGAAAATATTTAAAACAAAACTTATAAATGGTAGATTATTATTGTCATTTCGCCAGTCTTTATGTTCAACGAGTACATCCGATATCTGACGGTGACCGAGTGGTTGGCACTCCTGCTTCATGTTCAAGGATGTGCCCTAGCCAAATCTCAGCCCGAAAACCAGCTATGACGTTTTGGATGTTTTCCTCAGAGGAATGATGCCTCAACATAGTCTAAGACAGTTTCCTTCTATATCCTTTCAATTCACTTAATTATCCTGTCATTTAACACGGTGCAGTCTGAGCTACTGACAGTGTCGTTGAGTAAACCACAAATATGTAAGACGTGTTGGGGTGGAACGCAGGTCGCCTGCGAGACATTTTGCCTGGATGATGATGATACATTCCTGGAGGCGACACTGGCCCTAAGATCACCAATGCTTTCATCTGCTACCGTGCGATTTGTGGAGGCCAAGGAGGAGAGTCTTGTCAAAGGTAAATCATCAACACGTGTTAATATCTTGGTATACATTTAAGAAGTAAGTTTGCTGTCTGTTCCTGATGAGACGTTATGTAACTTATTTGTCTGTAAGTTAAGTAGGATTTGAGGTTTTCATGGCGGTGAGTCCAGAGGCAGCCATCTTTGTCTGGAACTTGTTTGTTTAAAACTACATATATCTCTCATCATCTACTGTTCCATAAGAAAAAGTTTATCGTAAAAGTTAGCACGTATTCTAATGTTTTTGCCATTTTACCATAGCTCTGTCAAAATGCCACAACAAGAAGGTGATACCGTGTCAGCTGCTGAGGAAGACGAATCTCCATGGCAGTGATGCCAGGTGAGCAGCACTTTAGATTTTTCTGATATTAAAATGAAGATTCTGCTTGCGGCTTGTATTTGTGACTTACCCATTTTGATTTCTTGGTGTAGAGTCAGCTACTCCCACTGAGATTTATGTCTGGGTCCCTATGAAAATATGGGGTAGAAACTCATAGTAAGTTATGATGTCTCTTCTATGGCTGTCTGGTCCGTATTCGGTCCATGGCCTCCTCAATTCTCCTCTTCCATTCGGTCCTCCGTTAGGTCCGTCTCTCCGAGGTTTTGATCGAGGTTTCGAAACATTCCTTTTTACGGTGCAAGGTTGTTAGCCTTGCGACCAACCCCCAACCTGGAGGACCAGGGTACCTGTCTTAGTCTGACCTCTCCCCCTCGACCAATCTGGCTAGGGAGGCCCTACCAGTAGCTCTTGGGGTCACTGAGGTACTCAAGCCCCAACACCACGACAAGGTGCAGGTACCATTAAGTGGGGGTTATGATATCTCACTTCCATATAATTTGTAATTCGTCATTTACAATTATTTTATTTTCACTACTGTAAGACGTGTTGTCAGGTTGCAGATTAAAGAAACAGACTCCAGATAAGAACGGTAATTGTAATTTTGACAAATAATTTGTACCGTGGCATTAGTTAGATGGGTAGTATGCCGTAATATGTTCCGATCTAAGTTTTGACGTGATTGTAGCCGTGCTACAATGCTGCTGGAGCTGTCGTCTGACTTGCCCTACACGCCAGGGGACCACGTGGGTGTGTTTGCTTGTAACCGCAAAGAGCTTGTGGATGGAATTCTGTCTAGACTACAGACAACTACAGACTTGGATCAACCAGTAGAACTTCAGCTGCAGAAGGAAAACCACACTTCAAATGGTAAGCTGCAAGTCGTGAGTGACTTAGTTGTCGTGATCTTCTGGGAAGAAAGTCTTGTTGAAATGGTAAAAGTTCCTCTTCAGACTCACTTTGAAATACTGACAATAGGAGTCATAACAATTATTTGTTTTATTGATAACGTTATACGTACAGGGATCGTAAAAACATGGGAACCCCACGAGCGCCTACCGCCTTGCACCTTGCGAACACTTTTCTCCCGGTTCTTGGACTTGACGACTCCGCCAACTCCCAATCTGCTGCAACATTTTGCATCTGTTGCCACAGACCCTGAAGATCAAAGCAGACTTACTCTGCTAGCTACAGTAAGTAACATACTTTCAGAATAGTAACATTACTGGTGTTATTTTCCATTAAAAACACTTTGCAGGACAGTCTAATTAAATTTCAAGATACAAATATCGACATGTATTGGTTTTCCATTCATTTGCATTCTTGTATTTATTATGGCACTAGAAAGTGCATTTCTGATTTGTTTGTTAGTTTTTCTATTGCAAATGTTCATTTTGGTGCTGCATGCGAAAAAGTTTTTGAAAATGATTACGTGAGGCTGAGTAAAATCTGATTTAGGACTGTTTCGATGCAAGTAAAAGCCTCTGTTTTCAGAAGAAAGAATGTTATAACAAGATGAAACTGTATATTTGTCAAAAAGGACTTGTGATTTTTTAACTTCAATATCTTTTCTATAAATCACACAAAACACTTAAAATATATATTTCTAAGTTATATTTAAATTTCTGAGTAATATTCCATGATCATTATTATGATGAAGGAGTCAGCAGCGTATGAAGATTGGCGTCACTGGAGAATTCCACATCTTCTTGAAGTTCTGGATGAGTTCCCATCTGTCCGGCCTTCACCAGCCCTGCTTGCCGCGCAACTCACACCCCTGCAACCCCGTTTCTACAGCATCTCCTCATCTCCCATTGTTCATAGCGGAGAGATACACATCACAGTTGCAGTTGTCTCGTACAGGACACAGGGTGAGTGGCGACAGAAATCACTATTCCAAATAATCTTGTTACGTGTGTGTGTGACCTCTGAAACGTTGGTTAACATCGACCAGACTACACGGCGCAACAACCCAGAAGACAGAAATCTTCATTCTCTGATGACGGAGGCAGTATGACCTCTGAAACGTTGGTAAACATCGACCAGACTACACGGCGCAACAACCCAGAAGACAGAAATCTTCATTCTCTGATGACGGAGGCAGTATGACCTCTGAAACGTTGGTAAACATCGACCAGACTACACGGCGCAACAACCCAGAAGACAGAAATCTTCATTCTCTGATGACGGAGGCAGTATGACCTCTGAAACGTTGGTAAACATCGACCAGACTACACGGCGCAACAACCCAGAAGACAGAAATCTTCATTCTCTGATGACGGAGGCAGTATGACCTCTGAAACGTTGGTAAACATCGACCAGACTACACGGCGCAACAACCCAGAAGACAGAAATCTTCATTCTCTGATGACGGAGGCAGTATGACCTCTGAAACGTTGGTAAACATCGACCAGACTACACGGCGCAACAACCCAGAAGACAGAAATCTTCATTCTCTGATGACGGAGGCAGTATGACCTCTGAAACGTTGGTAAACATCGACCAGACTACACGGCGCAACAACCCAGAAGACAGAAATCTTCATTCTCTGATGACGGAGGCAGTATGACCTCTGAAACGTTGGTAAACATCGACCAGACTACACGGCGCAACAACCCAGAAGACAGAAATCTTCATTCTCTGATGACGGAGGCAGTATGACCTCTGAAACGTTGGTAAACATCGACCAGACTACACGGCGCAACAACCCAGAAGACAGAAATCTTCAGACAGATTGTCAGTGTGGAGATGTGAAGAACTAGGCCCCTGCTATATTTTACTCTGAAAGATTTCCCCTAGTTGAATGTTGTCTCCCTCCTGCAGTGTGTCCATGACGTCAGACTTTTGGAGGGCTACAGGATCATATATTACTGTAATTTGTTTATTTGTTGATAAATAGAAAATATTCTTTATTGTGGAACTTGCCATTAACCTTAAATTTGTATCTACGTAACTCTGTATAACAATGATTTCACGTATTATTTTGCACAGATGGAGAAGGGCCCGTGCATTATGGTGTGTGCTCTAACTACCTCCGAGACGCAAATGAAGGAGATGACATCAATTTGTTTGTCAGGAGGTAAGTGTACAGACAAAGCAAAGAAACATTGACTTAGTGTGACATATCAATGAAAGAGAGATTCATGGATTATTTTATGTTATTTACAAAGAAGTTCAGTTTTTTTAAATTTTAAGTTCTAATAAAACCACAATTTCTGTGCTCTGTATAAAAAAATGTGTCTAATAATTTGTGTTTCCCCACTAAGTAGCCAAACATATGAGTTTCTTGTCAGCTGTAATTCTTCATAATCAGAAGGTCCAAGGTTTTATTCTTGCCTTGGTGCCTGCATAACCTAAAAGTTTTCATGGTTTTTCTAAGTCTTTCCAGTAAAATTCTGGAGTAGTATTTTATAGCAGACTGTAAGCACTTTCTTATTCCAGGTCATCATTCAAAATTATCCCCCGTTCAAAGCTTTATAACTTACGTAACCGAGAAAAATACATCAAACAATCTAAGAAACATGAAACTCATCAAGTACAAGTAACAACGGCATCATCCGTAATAACGACAAAAGTAAAAGTAGGAACTTTTGGACTTATGTTCTAGTGCCCCGAGTTTTTATCTGCCGTCTGACGTAAGTCGACCAGTGATCATGGTGGGACCAGGAACGGGCATAGCACCATTCAGGGGCTTCTGGCAGCATCGCATGGCTCAGCTTCATGCCGAAGCAGGTGATGTCATAGCAACATGATCACTGTTTGATGTGCAGTCATTTAATAATAATTATATGTAATTGTATTTTTATCATCATTGTGTTGTTATTCTATGTGGCCACAGCGACTTAACACAAAGGAAAACCTAGCCAAGTTAAAGATTTAAAAATAACATGATTGATATTGCTCACATTCACAATAAAACATATTCAGTGACTATTAAAACTAGATTAGCTTTATTATGATGCAGATACAAGTAATCCTTTTCTATCCAATTGTGGGTGGTTGTTTTTACACTGTCAGTTTTTCTATTTTATTTCAGTTTTGGTTTTGTCTGTCCAGGTTTCGCACCATGTGGACATTGTTACACGAGCAATATTCTTATTTGATGCTTCATCAAAATATCAAATACTGAAACTTGTATTCAAAAAGTTAAACAGCAGCTCAAAGTTGTAATGACTCCGTACTTAACATAAATGAAATTTTGATGTATTATACGCACAACTGAGATGACAAAGTGTAGGTTAAGAAATATTAAATGTTTTATTATAGCAATGTCTCTTCTGTCATTTGTTCGTGTCCTTTTACGTGATGGGCTTTTGTTTCACTCTTTCAGGTGGACGAGCTTTTGGCAAAATGTGGCTATTTTTTGGCTGTCGACAGCGTGCCCTGGATTTGTATTGTGAGGAGAAATCAGCAATGGTGGAAGATGGAATTCTGGATAAGGTGTTCCTTGCTCTATCTCGAGAACCGACAATCCCAAAGGTAACGTAATTTGTAAATAGATAGGCCTAAGTCAGTATGGTACATACCCTTTTATAACCTATATGTTTTAGTTCTTGGACATTTTCAATTTTCAAACACATGTAATTAGTACCAAAATTCCCTGAGGTGAAATGACCAAAATATGTGTTGCCTGTTGGAAACTTAAAGAATTAGTTAGAATAACGTGTCTTTACGTGAAGGAACCAGTTCTTTAATTTTGCTTATATAAATGCAGCAGCATTTATATAAGCTTGATGATTCTGTGTGACATAAATTAAAATGAAAGCACAGGAGAGTACAAAAAATCATAAAATGGTGCGTTATTAAACATACATAACAAACGCAAGAAATAAGCCGTGTTAGAGAGAGCCTTGGAAAATTATGGATTCTTGTTTCTATAAAAAAAATGTTCAGAGGTCTTACGTAATGGCATATTTTTCCAAAACAGCACATTATAAAAAAGATGTTAAATACAAGAGAAAGTTCCTCTTGGAAAGAGAATGCCAGGAAGTTACCACTTTAATTATTTTAGCAGTTTAGCACGTGAGATGTCCAGAAATCTTGGTGTCACAGAAGAAATGTTAAATACAGTTTTGAATATTATGGAAGGAATGATGTAGAATAGAAAAGCATATATATTTTTGATCCTCCAGTAACAAACAAAAGATAGCCCATGTTACTCACGTATCTTTACAAACGTTCTCTTAGACATACGTTCAAGATCTAATCCGTAAGGAGGCAGCTGCAGTATACAAGAAAGTGGTGATTGAAGGTGGTCACTTCTATGTGTGTGGAGACTGCACGATGGCTGAACACGTGTACCAGATGCTGAAGCTAATCATTCAAGAGCATGGTGGGATGCTGGACTCCGAAGTGGAGAGCTACATGCTCACGTTAAGGGTAATATGTCTATTTAATATCTATTTATAAAATATTTTCACATCGGTTTCAGAGTACCATATGAAAGGGTTTATGGGTTGTATTCTAGGATGAAAATCGCTACCATGAAGATATCTTTGGCATTACACTGCGTACTGCAGAAGTTCACAACCGTTCGAGAGAATCGGCAAGGATTCGAATGGCCTCCCAGCCATAGATACTAACACAGGTCTTCCAGTCAAGCTGACACCAATCACAAGACTTTGTATAAGAACTCGACATTCTATCTATAGGTGATATTCTCTGAGAAGACTGCTGTCAGATTTTCATAACCAGTGCCAACTTCAATGATAAGACTCTTGTTGTACATTTTTAATGTAATTTCTTGCTTGTAGCCGCGAGTGTATGAATTACCTTGTACTTATTATATTTAAGTTAGCTTTACAGCTTGGTAATGTGATGTTTTTCACAGGTGAAGATTTCTGTCTTCTGGGTTGTCGCGCTGTCTAGTCTGGTCGATGTTAACCAAATATTCATCGCCCTGATGACGGAGGCAGTATGACCTCTGAAACGTTGGTTAACATCGACCAGACTGCACAGCGCAACAACCCAGCAGACAGAAATCTTCATACTCTGATGATGGAGGCAGTATGACCTCTGAAACGTTGGTAAACATCGACCAAACTACACAGCGTGCACAGCGCAACAACCCAGAAGACAGAAATCTTCATACTCACCGCTGTGAAAACCTAAAATCTTACATTTTTCACAGGTGTTTATCATTATTTTTATATGTAACATAATAAAATCTATGGCTTATGTTTCAGCAGTGCAGCTGAAAAAATATTTATTATAGGACTCTAATATGAAGGGTTACAATGCACTTAATTTTCACATTGATGATATCACTGCAGATATATAATAATAACAATATTAAATATTTAGCTAATTTTTACCTGGAAGGATTAAAAGAAATCTTCTTTTTCATCTAACCAGGATATTTTCTTAGAAATGATATAATGGCGTAGGAAATTATAAAAGTATTACACACATGCACAAAAGCTGTCATATATGAACATTTATTTAACTTGGGCAGTCCTATATCTGCTTATAGTGTTGTTTGCTGTGATCTTATTTTATACTTAATTTCTTACAACTATCTACTTATGTACTTTATGAACAAAACACCAGTGAAATATGCTGTGACCACAACATAAAGTGCAGTTTTAAGGGCTTGTAGGTTATTATTTACGTCACGTCCTGGAAAACATATTGCTCTACGTCAGTGGCCCAGCATTCAAGGTTTTGTTCATAGGTACACATTTTATGGGACCATTCTTCTCTGCCGAGAAAACAGTGACTGGAATCATATCTAGAAATGTGTGAACTGTTCCTGATACCCAAGCTGCAGTAAAACAACGAAGTAACAGTCATCTTGTTCCAACAGCACTGCACTTTACTGCATTATTTCTGCAGCGTCATATAAGTGCCACATAATTTTCGGAAGCTGCACTGAGCACCTGCGAACAAATGCTTGAGATAAACCCGTGCCGTGGAGCAGTTTGTTTTCCTGTGTTGGACCTGAGTGAAAAGTCTTTTCAGTTGTACTTTAATTTGTTGTCACTCTGTATATAATGTATACAAAAAAAAAAATATTAATCCAGTTCCTTATATGAAATTACATATTTAAGCAAGTACAATAATTACAAGTTGTTTATTAGTAACTTGTAAGTATTATTTTTCTCTGTGATATCTGGTGTTTTATGCAGGTCGTATAAGGGTCAATAAAGAATGTAGCAATTAAAGTAACAGCAACGTCAAAGTATGAACATACTTCTAATATTTATTATTAAGCATTCCATTTGAACAAAAATGTAATATCTGATATGGTACTTCATGTTGTTAAATGATAATGAAGATTTTTATGGAAAATTTGTCAGCACATTCCAGTTTTGGTCAAAATCATACAGTGATGATGGGATAATCTATGTGCATTTTGGAGCTCTGAAGTGGCTAGGTGAGGAATATCCCCTGCTAGATAATTTTCTGACCAGTGGCAGGGTATATTCTGGTTATTTGCAAATGCATACATATACTAATTTGCTTTCCTGGATCACACGCAATCATTGGAGAAGCAAGTGTATTAGATCTCTGAATGTTTGCTAATGTGCAGTCAAGTTTAGTGTGCATCAAAATAATTGAATATTTGGTTCTAGCATTCAAATATTAAAAGAAAATGACTTACTAGTTTTGTATCTGAAGTTATACACTTAAAAATAAGTTCTCATTATTAAAACCACCAGGCTTATGCTTGAAGAAGGGGAAATAAATATAAATGCTATTCCTCTCAAAATATTTATTATGAATTAATGTGCTCTATTTGATATGAGAAACTATTTCTTCATTGTAAAAATTACTCTCATTATTGTAACAAAAGATTGTATAAAAATCTATAGTTGTGTTATGTATCGTCTACTGTTACTTGGAGCAAGTTTTTGGCTGTTCTGCCATCTCCAAGGTAATCACGACGTTATGTCTACATCATGTTGGTGCATGATTTTCAGTCAGCATGAAGGAAAGCGCGCAGGAAGTCAAAGTATATTGTCAATTCAAAACTTTGACATCAGGTATTTTGCATAACATTGTCTGATATGGAAAGAAGTTACAAGAGAAGTGCTACAATAAAGGAACTCATGTAATATTAGAACAAATTTTTATTTGAGAATTTTTACAGCTTTTTCCATTTCTTCTGTTCATAGACTGTGACAGTTTTTTAAAAAATTAACTCTTGAGACTTGTGTTCTTATTAGGCATACTATTACTTCTGGAGCCAAATTAGTGTGTAATTCCTGCAGTTTCTTTTTTCAGTATTATTCAGTTTTTTAAAATGAAATTTTATTTTTTGAAACAATTATTATGGCATTTTTATATATTCTCTATTTACTGTAAGTAATAAACCTTTTAGATGAGTAGAAACACTTGCCCCTTGACATAAAATGTACCTGGTATGATACATGTTTTTAAAATTCAAAAGAATTGGAACAAAGGATTTCTAAAGCTGGATACTTTGCTGTATACTTGCATCCTATAACTCCCACATGATACCTAACCTCCACTTCCTCCGTAATAGATACATATTTCACTAACTTTTGCAGCAAGAATTTTCCTTCTTCATGGGGGGTGTAGCTTGATATATTTCATATTTTATATTTATAATTTTATTGCTTTGTTACAAAATTGTTCACATATCTCATTTGGGTGTAAGTGATGTGGAATTAAATGATGTTTGTAACTTGTTTATGGCTTCTGTACTTATCTCATTAACATAATATTTTTGTACAAAATAATGATGAAAAGCAAAAGACTAAGTCACTTTCATGATCATGTACTGATCCAACCCCTCCAGCCCCACAGTTGATGAGCAGCTTCAGTTTCATGAAGACTAGGGTGGGTGCCTGACATTTGCAATATGATCATATCCTGATATTTTGTGCATCCCCCTTCTCATGAATCCTCTGGCACCTCAAGTATCTCCATCAAGGTACATAACAGGATTTCATAATAGCCGCCTGGCTTCATGAAGTGTTTAGCCAAGTGACAAAAATCTTATTACAACTGAGGCCTCACAAAAGCTTCCTTCTGACACTTTCAGATGTCAAAAACGTAATTTGATCAATGATTTTGTAACTTTAAAGTGAAGAGAGACGAACGTGTTCTCTCCATAATGCGTAATTTGAACGAAGGGCGTTTTGTTTTATTGCTAGGAACATATGAGAATTATATGTTGGTCAACCTTCTACACGTGTTGGTGAGGCCAATTTTGCTATTTTATGACCGAAGCCGGCATATAGTTATTGGTAGTAAGAAAGAAGCATAGAAACTGATCTTTCGTTGCAAAAAGCTGTAGTTAATATTCATTACTATGTAAGGGGGGCAAAGTATATACATGTTTCGTATACTGGTTGGTAGTTTCTTACTACAGATTCAATATGTGTTGGTAGTGATGGCTCAGCTGTTAATTGCCTAGTTCCAATATGGCACAAGTGTTTGTGTTGAATTTGCCACAAATAAATTACTTGTAATAGTGGTTAAACATAAGATATGATGTGCGAGTTTTTGTGTTGTAGATGTGTTTTATTTATGTATTACATCTCTAATTAACTTTATTAATAAAGTATTTCGCTAGACAGGCTTATCTGTCAAAAGAAAGGTAGGCGAATTAACAGTTAGTTTTTACGAGTTAGGGTATTTTATTTAGTAAAATGTCTTGCCATGGCTGAAATTGTTATCTTTTCCATGTTGTGGCACCTCTTTTAAGTTAGTTTATTTTATCTAGTAACATATTTACCATGTCAGCACTTAATAGAAGACTACAGATTAATTCAAAGGCTTTCGTGGTTCAGAACACAGTAAGTCACTTAACTAAAACCCATTAATATTAGACTGGTTGACTGGTCAGTGTAGCAGTTTATCACAGTTCGGGCAATGAATTGCTAATGAAGGCTGGTATGGGCAAAAGACAGTTTCAACCAGGACTGAGTTAGTTCTCATATGTATCCATAACCATAATGTTCTTAAGATGGAGTAAATTTTGTTTTCAGATAATTGGTTGAAGATGGCTATGGATCCATTTGATTTTCCTCCTGAGCTCTGTAGCAGACCACTTGCTTTGATTGGTCTGACAGGCCTTGATACATTAAACAACGCTGTTCATAGAACAATTTGGGATGCATTCAGCAGTAACAGGAGGCAGTACAGGGCTCCAGTTCAATTTAAACTCCTTGATCCAGCTCATGAATTTCCACCCATGAAACCAAAGGTTTGTTTTGTAGAATTGTTTTATTCACTGGATTAAATTGTACAGGTAAATGGTTGAGAGGTGGTGATGGGGGCGAGGTCATCATGATGTATAATAGAGTTTGAGGTTTTCACAGTGGTGAGTCTGAACATGTCTGTCTTCTGGGTTGTTGGTAGTCTACCAGACTACATGGCGCAACAGCCCAGAAGACAGCCATCTTCATGTAATATAGACCTCTGATTTGTGTACTGCTTGTAATTCTATAGTCAAATGTTTGGAGGACTATGAAAATCAAATTATCACTGCTTTAAAATACTTATAGGAATTTTGATACTGAAGAGTTATTTGTAAAGCAAGATGAACCAGTGTTTCTGTCTTTTACCTAGTGACATGGAAGAACCTCTGAAGCAGAGTTTTTTATTTTAAGTGACATCTATATTTGGGTCTACACAACATCACAACCCAAAAGAACATATTTTATCCACTGTGAGAACTTCATATCTCACAAGAATTGCACTGTTATTTATTTCAAGTAATTATTTCAAAACTGTAATGGACATTCTTACATTTTAGAGAACTTCTTATGATTGGTACATACCAAAAGGTATTCTTAAACGAAATTGGATGAATAAACATTTGAATGAAATGCCAGCAGTCGTAGTAATATTCTATGAATTGGACTGGGATGATCCTTTCTGGAATGAGAAGAGCATTGAATGCTCATCCAGAGTGCAGTCTGTACGGTGAGTAGATCACAGTGAATTTCAGATATAGCGGAGAAGCAATGTGGTGTTTTGCAGCTATAACCTTCATGTGCCAAACACTATGCTCGGTAATTACCAAAAGGGAGTTTGCTATACTAGAATTAAGCTATTCAATAATATTCCCTCTATTATACTCAATTCATCAGAACTCCTTTAGCTATCCTTTTCAGGATTTCTGACACTGCTCCCAAGACAAAACTATGTCCACTTTGTTTCTCTCTGTCAGGTAGTCCCCTGCTTCCGATACATGTCAGAGTTGCAGGGTTAGATTCTGGAAGGGAACAACAAAATAATGGACACAGACACGAGATGCATTTATAAGAGGATAGAGGCAATTGGATAATATATTTTTATAATGTAACCTGCTCTTGTGTCAAATGTCAGTGAATGATAATATTATGTATACAGTTCTTCCAAGTTTGAACTACAGTTCTAAACTTGAGGTATTGTATTAACTTTGGGGTTAATAGGTAATATAAAATGAAATGAAGTACTGAATTTTTTTTAAAAAAAATACAGGGCAGCGCTGGAGGGTCGGAGCACTCGTATTGCAGTGATTCTTGTCCAGCAGACTGCTCCGCTGCCAACAGGGGAAGACATGCTAGCAGCAGAAAGGGCTGCAGCATTGTGCACCAGCTGTGAACTAAATTCAAAGTCACTCTTTGTTCTTCCACACGGAGATCATTTACAAGGTTACACACACAGGTACTGATGGCTGCGCTTTTATACTTCGGATCTGTTTTATTGGTTGAATGCTAGTGCAGCTCATTAATGGGACTGTATTTTTGTTGTTGTTATTGTTGATACAAAACTTCTGACCAGTAGTCCATAATTTTAAAATTACAGGAATATCTGCAGCATACGGCAATAAAAAGGAGAACCACAGTAAACAGTCTAATCAAAAATTTCTTCATGTCTAGTCTCCCACAATAGTAGAGACAAAAGGGTCTACATTTTCTCTGTGTTTTATTAGATCTTGTATTTTTCAGGTTAGAGAATGCTTTTTATGATTTGGCTCAAAATTATTACCACCACGAGTCTCGGAACATCAAGGCTCATCGAGACCATCTCAATAAGACGACACACCAGTATCTCTTTGTGCGGCATTTATTTAAAATTGGCTTCCTCAATGAGCTGAAGCAAGATGGACATACTGCTCTCAAGTATGGGCTGTTTTATCGATTGATTTTCGTCAGAATATAAGAGTGTGAAACCTAGTCTCTCATGTTAAGGGAAAAATACACATTTCTGAGGGTGTTTGAGAACAGAGTTCTTAGGAGAATATTTGTACCTATTGGATACTGGGAACGACCCGTTCTTCAAATGCCTCAGCACTGCGGGTCCCAACTTTTCATTGGCTTGATCTATGGACATTTGGTAGGACTCCTTGGACGAGGGATCGGCCATTGTACCTAAGAGGGATAAAATGTTAAGAGACTTAAGAAAATTGCATTATGAGGAGCTTCATAATTTCAACTCCTTACCAAACATGTCAAGGAAGATGAAATGGGTAGCATGCATGAGAGAGATGAGAAGTAGGAACAGAGTTTTGGTTGAAAAGCTGGAAGGGAAGAGACAATTCAGAAGACCTAGGCATAGATGAAAGTTTAATAGTAAAATGGATCTTAGGGAAATAACGTTGGAGGGTGTGGATTAGATTCATTGGCTCAGGATAGTGACCGGTCACAGGCTGTTGTGAACACGGTAATGATCCTTCAGGTTCCATAAAAGGCGAGGAATTTCTTGACCAGCTGATTATGCTTATTACCTTCTCAAGAAGAACTCTTTTCCATGGAAGAAGTCAATCAATCAGTGGAATTCTGGCTATTTTGTATAGCAGTGTTCCCCAACGCGGTGCCCGCGGGCGCCAAGGCTTTTTTTCGGGTGCCCACGTTATTACAGAAAGAGGTTATACTGAATAATGAAGGCCGTTCAACCATGAACATTATAAAATCAAAGCACAGATCTCGACTTACTGACACCCATCTTGACGATCGTTTGCGAGCAGCATCATCCTACACTCCCAAATTTGAAAAACTGGCCCATGAAATGCAGTGCCAAACATCACACTAACTTCCCACTTGAGTAATAATAATTGTACTTATAAAAGTACGTATTTTTTATTGCGTGGTTTCTTGTATCATTAAACGTTGTGTTGTTTTGTGTATTATTTGGTGTCCATATCTTATTTGCCCAGAGAAAAGAAAATTTGGCTTTGTTAATTGGTTGGTGCCCGCCACGATCTCATAAACTCTCAAATGTGCCCGTAGGCACAAAAAGGTTGGGGACCTCTGGTGTATAGCATAGCTTTTTCTCATAAACAAAAAGGACTACCTTTGATATCAGCCAAGTGCTAGGTCAGTGATGAGGTCTCTAACTTCGGATCATATAATGTCTAATTTATATTTTGTTATATTGACATTGGATAGACATTACTGTCAGGAATGTAAGAAACTGTTGGTTTGTCCTTTTCCAGGAATTACACTCAGGCGTACAATAATGTATTAGAGTTGCGTTTGGTGGATACCAATGCTCTGGAAGTAAAAACAGTAGCTGGATTTATAAACTATAAGCTCTGCAAGCTGATGTTTCAGTTAAGTCTTCCTCGTGATGCTATCGCTCAGTTCCGTAGACACACTGACCTTTTCAAAAACAGGATTGGACCAAAAAATTTGGTCTTTGAACATCATGCGTGGATGTCAAAACAGTAAGTATGCATGACTGTATTTTGAATCGTACGCATGTGGCAAATAGAACACTGTCACTGTTGTATAGTGGCATTTGTAATATTAAAAATTTGAAGACTTTACATAAATGTTAGTCCAGACATGAATGAGTCTTCCTTTTCTAAGAAAAGTTTTTCTCAAAACACTTAATTTCTTGTAATCCGTATCACTTTGGTGGGAGGGGTTGATCTGCTTTAGTCCTGCCTTATTCTTTTTCTTAATATATTTCAATATACCGAGAATTATGAGCATAAATTAGCATCAAGATTATCATAATGATGTGTAAATTATTTTATGAGACTTGTCAAGTCTTTTATTTTACAAAACTACTGTACTTGTTTCATCAATTTGTAGGCTTTATGTTGTTTCCATTGCACCTGATGTCATTGCTGTGTGGTGTGTGGCAGGAATATACTTCTGTAATTTGTTAATATCTTTTAGGTTTTGTGTATTTGGTGATATTTTTGATGAAGCAATTAGACAAGGTTTACCTGCCCTGCAAACACAACACCCAGGATTCTACTATCAACAAGCAGCTCAGCACGCTGCAGACAGAAAGGAGGCTTGTTTGGAACTCTGCAAGGTAATACATTGTATTTTATTTATCGCAATTCCTGTGCAGTTGATAGTTGCTTGTTAATATAGAATGGAATTTGAGTTGAAGATCAATCACATTTTCTGCAATGTGAATTTTATTTGTTATTTGTGGAATTTCAATCATTAATTGATGTAGTGAAAACTAATTCTACTATACATTTTTTCAAGCAGGACTGTCTGTCACTTTGATGGTACACTGGAGGTTTAAATGGCTTTGAAGATTGTGTTGTGGGAGGTCACATGTGGCGACTTTCTTAAATATATTAAAAAACTATGAATGATGGCAGAATAGTGTAGCCACCGAAGGACAGTGTTGTGAGGTTTCTTAGGTTAACTGGATTTTAGATATGGCTACTGTTCCAGGAATGTTAAGCTACTGTAGTGTATAATTTTATATAAGAAGTCCTTTGAAAAATATTTTGTAATTGAAGTGTGCTGGAATGATATTTTAACAATTTAAAAGGCATTTATAATCACCATGTATGTAATTTCTGATCACATTCAGAGAAAATGGATACCTCCTCCATGGTGGAAGTCATATGCTCTGTATGATGGAATTTTTTTCCCAACATACAACAAAGAATTACGAAGTCATGAGTACCGTCATGAATTACAGTTTATTCTTGTTGACTCGAAAGGCTGTGAACGTGTATCCAGAACCTGATCCGTTGATTGGCATGGAGCACCTGGAGTTCTATGGCCAGAGAGCGTGGCGCCCAGGAAAATTAAGTGCTGAACCCCCCGATCCAGACAAAGAAAAGCTTGGTATCGTAGCTCTGCAGTACCAGGAGAAACATCTTGTGAATCATTCGGTGAGTGAGGTGCCATTTCAGAGGAAGGAAATAGCTTTTTGTAAGTAGTAACTTTGGTAAATATTAACTTCTGTTTACAAAACTGAAATAAAATTAATTTTATTTCCTAGTGCAAGTCTCTGGGAAGGCTGAGTAGTCATTTTGACTGCACTCTTATTTCTAGGATACTGTAGATTAAACGTGTACCAGTTTGTAATAATGGAACCACTTTTCCCTTTTTAAGCGTTTAGTTTCCTGCTCTTAAAAGAAGTTTACCAGCAGTCTTTGTTTTAGTTGAGAATTAGGAAATAGTTTCGTGTTAAAATTGTGTGAAGAATTATCATCTACTTTAAGTTCTCCTTCGGTCAATCCAGAGTATAAATCATTGGCTGCACTTTAGTGGTAAAATATTTTTGTGTGTTACAAGGTTTTTGATTTGATTGTGGCAACACCATGTTGGATATATTCCCCCCACATTTTTGTTTATTCATTTTCAGATGATTATTATTGGTTTACTTGGAAGTGCAATTACACAGTTCAAAACATACCATTGCCCACGCATGAGGAGGCATCTTGGTGAGTGTCCTTTTATTTATAATGTGAGTATGTGTTTTCCAAGAAAAAACTGAAAAATTTAACAGCATTTTTCTTTTCAGTGGTGCAGATGGCCGAAGAGTATTACAGTTCACGGGATTATGGCAAGGCATTGACGTGAGTAGATGGTCTTACATCTGTGTCTGGTTATGTTGCGTGTGCATTTCAGATGTGTTATTTCATATCAATGCAGATATAGAACCTTTTGATAGGCCATGACTGCTTCCTTCCACATTCTGTCCAATTCATAATTCACAACATTTCCATTCAGCAATGTATAACGGTTGAAAAATCTTCGAATCATGTAGTCACCCAGTCAGTGAAAACAAAATTACATTTGATGTTTATCTCATTAAACATGTACCAAATTAAAAAAAGTTTAGATAAAGTGAGAAGTAAAGTTTCCTATCTAACATACTTTTTGGGTTCAAAGCCCTGATTTTGAGATGTGAATTGTGTGGGGGGCTTACTGTCATTCTGCCTCTGGTTCACATAGGCTTAGTCTACGTATTTTTAAATTATAATTATCAGTTTTTCAGGATTTTATGGAGGAAATATAAACTGTGGTATTGAGGTCCATTGCTTAACTGCAGGTTGTTGACACACATGTTGTGGGACTACCGCTGTGAAAAGTGGTGGCGATTGATTACCAACATACTGACGCTGGCGCTCAACTGTGCTTACCTTTCTGCCAGCATTCACGATTACGTAGTTCTTTCATTGGAGGCCCTCGGCACTTCATCACAATTCCCATTTGATCAGAAGACACGAATATTCAACAATTTCATGAAGGTATTGAAGGTACGTTCTCTTTGCTAACATACTAAATGGGATGAAACTGATAAAGTTAATGGAGATGGTACGTAGATACACAGAACATTTGTTAAAGTCGAGGTATTATAA